TACTATATATAATATAGTAATATAATAATAATATAGTATATATATATATATATATATATATATATATATATATATATATATATATATATATAGAGTATGTATCAATACATATGACAACGAAAAAGTAGAGATTGAAAAAAGTGTATAGTATCACACACATACAGACAATATGTGCATTCATGTAGCGCAAAATACCCTCCCCCGCTTTTCTTTTTTAAAATCACAATTCATGTTCTGGATTTTGTGTGTGAAAGAAGTTCGGTATCAGTTTAGTACATGTCACATAAATCTGACGCTTGGCATTTGACAACCCGACAGGCTGACCTCGGGCTCAGTTCGCCTCATCGCACAGGCTGACACTCATAATCACAGGTAGAGGCCTAAGGCCGGTACCCAGCGGGGTCAGTCTCAGTCTGGGCCTCTGGGGTCTGAATACGTGTGGAAACTGCATGGCGCAGGGCCGCAGGCTCCATTTTCTATAACATCAATTCTTTTTTGCACGAAAACCCAAGTGAATACATCAGTTTAATGGTGCTAAATGCTAATCCCGAAAGTATTTATTTATGTGCATATGATAAATTGACCCTCTATATGCCAGAAAATATGGAGAACGAACGATAGCCTCGAATCCTCGATAGGGTTATATTGAAACAGAGAAACGTCTGAATATCACGGATTTTTTGCACGGCCCTCTGGATGGGTGACAAGTGACAACTCGCGAGCAGAAATCAGGTTTCTTCCCACGACGCAGAGACTCTATGCAGAGCCGCAACGACTGAGAAACGAACTGAGGGTCTGAGGCTAGGTCGTTAGAATGAAGGGAAGTCAGGAACACCCCGATCACTCCATCTAGTTTATTGTCAGCAAGTGTTTATTGTCGCCCTAAATCCCGATCACATCCGTTGCGATGAGATCATAAAGTACCGAGCTTCTATCGATGCCAGCTTTTACTTTCATATATTTTTTTACTGTGATGATTTCATTTGTTGCTCCATGACATCTATTTTGTATATAACTATTACCTCACATGTGAAATAATGTGAATTCATAAACATTTGCCCGAGATTGACCTCATTACGTTTTCGTTGGAACCTATAAAAATCCATTTTTTTTAAATGAATACTTTGGTTCGATCCTGTTTGTTTATTATGAGGCCATTGAGATTTGAGGGTGCAATTACTGCAATATTTGTAAATATTTTGAGTTGCAATATAATAAAACAAGTATTTTCTCTTATATGTTTCTTCATAGCTGTTTTTTTAATTAAAAAAATGGTTAGACCCACCATTATATTAATAGTTTTTATTTACGTTTATGTTCACAAGAAATATTTTTTCTTCTTCAATTTGTACGTGTCAAGTTGTTCCACGACTCCACTGTCCACACACCCCCACGGGCCCACAGCCCCACAGTCCCCCCCCCCCCCCGTTCGAATGCAGAACTGCAGACTGCAGTCAGAGCGATCCAGTAATATTAACTGATGTGATACGATAAAAGAACATAGTAATATACCGAACTGCTTTTGGACACACAGACAGTCGTCCCCTCCCCTCTCTATCTGTCTCTCTCTATCTCTATAGCTCCTCTCTCTCACTCACACACACACACACACTCTCTCTCTCTCTTCAGTCTTCTAAAATTCTGACTGCTGAGTCTTCTCACTCTCTCGCAATGCGGTGTTTCTGACTTCTGTGTGAGAGTAGTCCGTTCGGCGTTCAGCCAAATGAAATTGAAGGCCATGTATGATGTAAGATCTTTCATAAAGTTTTGCTGGGATTTCATTTGTTGCTCCACGACACTTGTCACCTAAGTCACCTAACCTCAATCCGTTGAAAAGGAGCGGATATTTTCAAAAATAATAAACGGTTATACATTCGGGTCGAAAAAAAAAATCCAAAAAAAAATCAGTCTATTGAGAGATATAAACGGACATAATAGATAAGAACATGCCCTATATATCGAACCTTAGGGCCACTAAAACGCACCCATAGGTCTGATTTTCAGGCCGCCATGAAGTGAACTTATACGTAAACGTATTGAAGTTGCTGTCACTCTTTCTGTCTTTCGGTCTTTGAGAGATATTTAATTTTGCGAAAACA